AATGCAGGTCAGTTGGAATTCATGCTGCATTTGGCAAACAATTTAATCATAAAACTGAAACCTCAAAAACAATTTTTGAAAGAAATAAAATGTTATTATGTTCTTGAAATAAATTTTTTTTTTTTTTTTAGTATTTGGTATTAGGAGGAACATTTGTAAAAGAAAAAAAACATTCTTTTACTGGAACCCGAAGTATTGGCCTTCTGCAGAAAAGATACTAAGGATAATTTTTTAGACCTATAAAGAGTTTGATTCTCTTTAATTCACTAGCATCCATCTCCAAAGCAAATAACTTCAGAAATTGTGCTAAAGCAGACCTTGGGCTGTGAGAGCGGCATTCAAGTATGGTTAAAAAAACCCACCTCACTGATTATATGAAACACTTCAAAACTGAGTGCTTCCTAGGAATGTTTTTTATAATTCAATTCTTAATTGAGTAGGAGAAAGGTTTTCCATATGGAAACTCATTAGGAGAAAAGGCTGAAGGGTCCTCAACTATCCTTAAATCCAGGACATTACAGATACAGACATTAACATAGCCAGAGATTATATTCAATCCTTGTTGATACCATGTCTGTTGAAGATCACAATGAGATGTCATTTTGCAAAAAGTGGAGAGTCCACGTTATTACCTCATAGAACTTGTTTTACTGAAGTTATGGGTTATACCAGATCATGTGTGCAAACACGTTCTCCAGAGTAAAGGCCAGATCTTATCCCATTTTGGAAGGAGAGAAGATATATTATGAAATTTACAGGTACATTAATAAATTTACATGCTGTTGTTTGTAATAAAATTATATAAAAATAGAATAAATACTATATAAACTACTTGCATTTCCCCTGTACAGGTGTAGTTCAGCAGTCTCTAGAGTTTAGCTTGCAGTTTTACTCTTTTAAGTACTTTGGTATGTCCTGTTCCGCCTAGTTGGGTGTGCTTAATTTTATTTATCTATCTATTTATTTATTTATTTATTACAAATCTAATACTTCAGCACTGCTTGGAGCTGCAAAGAAAATGTGATAGGTTAAGTGAGAAGTGTAGGGAACTTCACTAGACTCAGCAGTAGCAATATTTGGAATGGTAATAAAATATAAAATATTATTTGTTTTTCCCAGGGTATTGTTTGGAGGGATAATGCAGCACTTGTGCTGGATAGTATATCCACACTTGTATGAATTCCTAGTTAAACTACTCATCTATGTACCTTAGCAGGCTCAGCTATGTGTCTCTCTAATTAAATTATACATTTGCTCTATAAATGTAACAGTTTAATCTTTAATACTGTAAACTCTGATACCACATTTTGATTTTCTTTATGTTCCCTAAGACAGAAACAGCAACCGAGAAAATATCTGGCTTGTGCCCTAATGCATTTATTGCTAGGAGAGAGGTATATATTTATTGACACTAACACATGTACACTTACTTCTGTATGTGTACACATATGTACTTACTGCCTCGCCTGAACATTGAGCCCTTTTGTTGAAACATTTTATCATCAGAACCTTTAAAGTAATAATTCTTTAGGTTTTGTGCTGAGTTCAACTGGCTGATGGGCCAAGCTTCCTATGTAGAGATTTGTTATTCAGGGGCAGGAACGACCTTCCTAGGGAAGGGAAGCCCCGTGCACAGGATGGTGGGTGGAGTGGGACTCAGGCTGGGGGTGCTGGTGTGGAGCATTCCCTGCTGTGGTGTGTTTCTAAACATCCTATTGCAACACCAGTGGTCTGAAAAGTCAACAGTAAAATCCTGTGGGAACCGCACCAGTATTGCTAAAGTTAGACAAAAATTTCCACTTTCCATGAGGTGAAAACACAAAGTCTGCTGTCTGCTTTGCATTAGAGGAGTAGTTCCCACCTCTTGCTGTGGAACTCGAGAATGATGTGAATTTATTTCTGGCAGATAGTGGTAAAGAAATCACACCAGTATGAGTGGTTTTAATTTAATGTGATACCCTACTTTCAAAATTGTGCAGCATCTCATTTCTCTTTGGGATCCATAAAATGGCAGCGATGTGTTATCCTTCCCAACCAGTGAACAGGAAGAACGTGGTACATTTTTCATATAAACACTTCCTTTGAGTGTCAGTATTACTGAGTGTCACCAGTCACAATTCACAGTCTTATTAATGACAGCATTGGAGTTTTACTAAAATGGTGTCCCTGAAGACAAGGGGTAACAGTTGAGGATTTACACTGAGTTCTTTCGTACCTTAATAGGTGACCTCATATTCTGGTATCAGTAGATCAGGGGTTTAACTGCCACATGATATTTTAATCTTAGTGGAAAAGCTTTCCTGTTTTAACTGTGCTGCAATCACTGTTAATTTTGTGTGCCAGAATACTCTGAGACACAACTTAATGGTACCTGGGAGTGTATTAATTATAGTAAATGATGGGAAACTAATGGAAATCTACCCCCATCCTTCTTTTGGCCCTTTCAAAGGTAGGGATACTTAGCATTTTCCTATCATACTACATTTTATACAAGTGAGCTAGAACCATCATTTCTGTAGACTGATTTTTAAAGCAGTCAAGCAAAATACTGAAGCTCAGAGCAAGAGAAAAGCAAGAACAGATCGCTGTATTACTCTGTAACTGGGCCTGAAGAGCACTGTGGAAAACCGGATGGACTCCAACTGAAAAATAATTGCAGGAAGCAGCAGAAAAGGATTTAAATAAGGTAAGATTACGAATACTTTGGAAGGTTCTGCTGTAGATTCCAAGTTGGCATCTCTTTTCAATCTCAATGTATCTTTACCCCATGCACTGACATGACCCTTTATTCAACCTCAGCTTGGATGACATTTGTGCTACCTTCCAGGAAAGGAATTGTTTTTTGCAGCTCCCTCTCTTATTCATTTCGAGAGAAGGATTAAATACTCCCTCTGACCAAGCATGCAGGCATGCTAAAGCGAAGCCACTTCATGCTGCTGGCCAAAGAAAGAACAAAAATACCCACAATAAGCAAAAGCAGATGGCTGCAGTGGCAGGAAATGAATGAGCCAGACTGCAGGTAAAATGGTTCTCTGAACACATTGCCGAGGTTGCAGTGACAGGTTCTTTGTTATCTGGGGCCTCCCCACAGGAGGCCAGATGTCTTCTGTTGTGAAAGGAGATAGAGATGCTCTTCCTTTTCCTCCCCCTTTAACTTATGGCTGTTTAAGTTACTGCTAATGGAAGCAGAAGCCTGTTTTCCCCTCTTGGTCTCTGATGTTTTTGGAAACAGAAGAGATAGTTAGTGAAGGGGTGTTCTGATATGAAAGGAAAGGCCCAGAACTGGCCTTTACCTCCCCATGACCCTCAGTTTAAAGAACAGGGAGGTCAGTGCTGCTAATTGCACTTGAAAGGATTAACCACTTGATCGCTTTCATTTAGCAGAACAAAATTTGGCTTTAGGCTCAAAGCTGGAGAAACGTAGCAGTGGCACTGAGATGCTTTCAGGGGGAGATGGGGGACTCAGTTTGGCTTCTTATACCAACGGTGGAATTAAATAGAGCATCTAAATGTTTTTATATATGAGAGAGAAGGGGGAACCACATCTGCTGCTCAGACAGGACAGATTTGCAGCAGAAGTGACAATAACCTCCCTCCTGCCCCCATAAAAGGTTATCAGAGGAATACCAACAGACCTTAACAAATTACAGATATTAGGTGTGTATCTGTCCCTTGGTATAACAAATGACTTTTGCTTCACATTAAGGTTGCACTGGAAGAAAAAGAATCTGAACCCAATTCTTGGGCACAGTGTTCCACATTCAAAATATTTCCTGTACATTAATTTTACCTGATAATTAATTTTCTTTTGGAATAGTTTCTTGATTCCCATTATTCAAATGAAGTGAAGTACACAAAACTTAAATTTGGAAACAATTTTTAACCTTATAAAACTATTTTCCAAAAGTAACAAAGAACAGGGCTTATACAAGCTTTTATCTGACCTCTGCTTCTTAAATAAAAAACATGTTTTCAGGGAAATGTGTCTTGGAAGTAACTCCCCCTCTCTCCCCAGATTCTTCTCTCTGGTTCTTGTAAAACATTAGGTCAGTGGGTTCATTTTATTTTTGTTTGTTTAAAGTGGGTGAAAGTTTCCTTCTCAAGCTATTATACTTGTGTGATTTTTAAAAAAATATTATAACAATCTTAGTTTAAGAAACAAAAGAACAGATGGAAATGTCAAAAGACTATCAAAATTCATACCAAAGGAAACAGCATTAATCATTTCAAAAAGCCAAAATAACCTCTCAACAGCAGTGAGAACCAAATTAATAAGTGCTGTTGTTTCAATAGCACTGAGACATGACTGCTGGTCTGAGACTATTCAGAAATAATTATCCATCTTATCTTGTACCTCTAATAAAACATTTTTTTCCTACAGTAAGAATTTTTATCAACATGATTTTTTTATCAGTTTGATAAAAAATATATTCATGTAACTGCTGGTAAGGTACTAGCTCAGGTCTGTCATCTCTGCCAGCATTGGCTGTCCAGTAAAACACAGCAAAACTACATTCCCACGTGAGGGCTGTGACAGCAGTGCTACACCCACCAGCAAACTTCCATCAACAGAGACATTCTCCCATTTACATGATTACTGCAAAAGAGAAAACGTAACAGATTCACAGGCTGCCTAATTGAAGGAAGCCTTGTCAGAAATGTTGTGGTCAGAATCACCATTTCTCTGCTTCTTGTCACTGCAAATTACTTTGTGTTGAGTCCTCCACAAGGATCAGCATTTTCAGGCAGCTCCTGCAGTGCAATGAGCCCATTCTGCTGCTTCCAACACAAGCACGTGGCACCTACAAAATGTTACTACAAAATAGGCCACAGTGACATTCGTTAAGGTGGTGTTCCCCAAAATAATATTACATAATAATAATAATAATAATAATAAACACTTAACTAAATTTGTTTGAAGAAGTCTAACATTACCCAAGTTGAGAATAATCTTAATATAACAGTATGTGAATGGTACTACAGAAATCACACACTGTATGTTTAAAGAGATCACTTTTTTATTACTTGAACAATTTTCCAGATTTACTTTTGAAGGTACATAATTTGTATTCAATTAATGTGCTCTTTCATTTTGTATTGGTGCAACCCTCCCCAGTTAAATACCACGATATTCATTTCCATAAGCTTTTGATGTCAGGAAAGTGAAATCTTTATTACTGTGTAAAACACAAAGAAAACACCTGACATGAACTATTGGTAACAATAAAAAGTCAGCATGTTAATTGATTTTTACAGTTAGAGAGATCAATCATTATGGCAAGAGAGGTCAAGTCCTCCTATCCCCACCTCAGGAACTGTGCTCGTCACAGTGAGCACATCAGACCTGTAGGATGAAATCCAGCAAGATTTAGCAAAGTGTAACTGTTTTCAAAAAAATAACTCTGATCATAGTCTCATTTGAGTAGTTCTAAAACCTCAAGTGTGCAGGACGAGGTCTGCAGGTTATCTCTGGACAAACACTGTGGTCATTGTACAGTCCATTTCCAGATTTCAGTCAGACAAAAACAGTTCTGTTTGTGCAGTTGATCGTCACAAAAAAAAGGTTGTGTCATGCACCTACAGACAGACATCTTACTCTTTTCCTGCAGAACACTTGGCATTTTTAATCAATGTGTACATAAATGAAAAGAAAAAAAGCAGATTATCATATTGTCCTTTGTAGGTCTCTTTCAAAACCTCCTGGTGATAGTCCACAAGGAAATAATAAACGGCTTCTATTGTGGACAGGTACGTGTCTGGCTTCCCCTTCTGATGGCGCCAAAAACAAGTTTTCCTTGTCTTCAACTCGATCTGCAGCAACCCTGTCAAGGACAGAAGATGACATAGATTAGACAATGTGGATTGGTGGCCAGGATGCCAAACAAGACTTTAGTTTTGTTTTCTGATGTTGCTGCTGCCATGGTGGATGCAAATCAGCATGCAAACCATTTCTCTTCCTGTGCCTCATTTTTCATCTGTAAACCTGAGGCAACAATTTTATCCTTCTTTGTGGGCCCCTTTGAAATTTGATGAAAAAGTGATGCAAGTACAAGGTTACAATCTTCATATTTACAACTAATTATGAGTTATCCTTTCATTCCACAGCCTCACAGCCCTCAGTAAACTTCAGGGTCTCTTCAAGCGGCAAGAGTGAAACCCACACCTACCAAGACTCATCAAGGTTCTTGAAATTATTACTTCATCTTTTGCAAAGTTAATAACTTTCAAGTGTAAAGCAGAATCCTTCAGACTTTTACTGTTGCTGATTGAGGACTATTTGCAAGAGCCAGAAACTTTTCATTTATGCTTGTTAAGTAACTGAAATCTCACTGAGATTACTAAGGAGTAAGTATGACAGAATCTGGTAATTAACTTCATTAGAAACTAAAAGCATTCCCACTTGAGATGAAAGGAGGAACTTGGTGTCTGTATGGCACATGAAAATCTTTTATCTACCACAGTCTCTGTAATGAGAGATTTTTTCAGATGAATTTTAAATGTGTATCTTGGTTATGTTCCTTAAGATGCACAAACTATTCAAAACTAAAGCCAACTTCGTGTGTAATCACTTTGTAAACAGGATGGACAGCTGGATTATAAAGAACACCTGTCAATAATATCAGGAGCAGGTTGTAAAGTTACCTTTTTCTAAAAGTCATACCCTGATATTGTGTCACATGAGATGGTGTAGCACAAGTAATAGTACAAATAACAATATGGTCTAAGAATTGCTTGGAAGTTCTGGACGGAGAAGTTTCAGTAAGGTCCAGATTCAGGAGCACAAACTGGCTATAGCCCAGCACTTTAATCCTACACTTTCTACCTTCCAACTATGGTTAATTCTTTCCAGTGGAACTGCAAGATGGATTTGGTTGTTTGCTTTGCAGTTAGCACAGCAAAACAGGTCTCTTCTACAGTGTTTTAAAAAAAAACCTTAACACCAGAAGATTCTGTCTCTAAATTTAAATGTTGTTGTTGGCATTTTGGGAACAAAACCTCAAAATAACATAGTCTAATTATTACCTCGAATAATTCTATACATGTGAAAGTTAAAATAGTAGTAGGACACTGCAGTAAGCTTGTTTCCCTCACAAGTTTTGAATTCTCAGCCATAACCAAAGTGAAAACTTCCATCAAATTCAGAGACACTTCCACCTGAACAGCAATGAAGTAAATTCCTCCAACACAAACTCCCACATAGTTGTGGTTTGAATACAACCAAAAGTTCATTGAAGACAAGACCACGGGCACTACTGAGCTTACCACAAATGCAGGATCAGATAATTTCAATGAAAACTTTTAGTAGTTTTTTATTAAAAAAGAAAAACAGAGGGGATTAAGGGTTAGAGCTTACCGAGCATGTTTCATCTGTACTGTATGTACAGCCAAAGGCAATGTTTGATTACAAATATGGATCCTTCATACAAAAGCTTACAATAATAATGTGTAAGCTAATAAAATATTTGGCTAATACAAAGCGGATCAAATTCACAGGAAAAAAATCAGAGTAATCTGTTTCTTTAACAACCATGTTGATGTTGCCAAGAAGTTCCATCACTCCTGTGAGAATGTAATTATTAACATTAGATTCAACTGTTTCCTTTCTGATCTAGAGACCACTTTTAATGAAGTAATCAATCCTAGACATTACCAACTTTCAAATATTTCCTCTTTTTAACACAACTGATTTAGTTTTGCTTTCTAAAGATATATTACACCACTTTTACAAGAAGATATAGAAATACTTATTTTGTCCAAGTTCTCAAAGCTCTTTTTTCCCAAGATTGATGCACTCATTTGCTTTCTCTTGCAGTACAATTTGCTAGATTTACTCTCTATATAAATACAAGGTTACAAAACACAAGGTTTTTCTTTAAATTTTCTTGGCTTCATTAATGTTTCCATCCAGTATTTCTTGTAACTTAATCTTTCTGAATAAGTATGGCAATTACTTATTTGGAATTACCATCACTTACTTTTGAACTCTAATATAGCAGGAATATTTTGCTGGATGATGACTTCGTTTGCAATTGAACTGAAAAATGACAACAGTTCTCTATTTTCCATGTGTGTACAGCATAAAAACCTCATCAGTTTATGCCTAAGGGAACTCTGCCCCGTTCATCTTGGAAGTCAAAGCTGTAAACTCTAAAAGGAGTGATAATGCAATGTATGTTCTGTATGAGGGGCACTGAGGAAAGCAACGTGTGCAACTGCTACACCTGATGGGGGGTGTGAAATTCTACCTATAAAAAAATAAAACTGACTTCCATGATACTATCAAACCTTACAGCAATCCTGAAAGCTGCTCAGGGAAAGAGAGGACTGGAAAACAGCTGGAACCAAGATGATGATCTAAAAAAGAGGGAAGAATCCACCAGATCAGCACTGGCACGGGGGAAGTGGAAAGCATCCTTTGTGAGAGCTCCCAACTAACACTCATTATGACTTTTTTACTGAAATACTGCATAAGCTTCCATGGAAATCTTCAGTTCCCCTGGCTGCCTGTTACTTTTCTTGAATTCATCCTCTTAAAATAAGTTCCAAATGCTTTACAGAAACGTGCAACATGCAATTACTCTAATTGTTACAGTAATGCTTCAGTGTAGTTGATAGAGCATGTTTTGTATTAAACTAAATACTTGTAACAGGATTTTAATTGGCCAATACATTATAGTAACATGTGGGATTCTTTAATAAACTGACTAGACAGCAAGACAACATTCATCTTCCATGGAAGACAGTCTGTGAAGTTCCTTGTAGGATCCAGTGCAAAGCAGGCACCAGTAGTTATATATATTGCATATAAACTTGACAGGCTGTGTCCCAGATAAGTGCACCTTTTCCACCAATCAAAGTGTTTTCAAACTCCTATTCATCTCCAGGGAAATGGAATGCTATTGCTAAACTGTTTTGCCTTTTGTGGATTTAATTAGAAGTCTTAAATGTAAACTTCTTATAATGAACCTAAGACAAAAGACTTTTGCAGAGTTACCAGTTTCTGCATTCAGAGCTGGGAGGGTACAGAGGAGGGTACAGCAGGGTACAGCAGGAATTCCCTTTTTATCTGGAAAGTAACGAGATCATCAAAATGTAACAACTTCACTAGAAAGAGAACCCAAGCCATGATGTGCTTGTGCTGTGTCTCCTAAATGCCTTGTTCACCTTTCAGTGGCCTCTCTGCCTCCACTGTACAGAAATGCTCCCCTGGTCTCCTGAAAAAGCAGAGAACCACCTGCAAAGGAATCCTTTTTGATTTTCTTCAGAGATAACTCCAACTACTGTTCTACTGTCTAATCTGAGAGCTTCCACTCTGTGAGACAAGACTTGTTCCACTAGAGAAGGGAGAGAAATAAGTGTAAACACTTTCTTCAGTCTTATCGTTTTGCAAACCAAATTATATGACACGGAAAGTAGTGGAGTCTTTGGCTCAGGAAGTATTTACAGCCCTGAAACAGCCTGTCAAGTCTTTCATGTGCACTCAGATACAGGGGTAGACATACACTTATACCATGCTCAGGTCTGTGACAGACACGTGACCCTTCAATGTTTCCTCAGCAATAACATCTCAATATCCACTTGTGTTTTTTACCTTGAAGTCGTTCGTCAGTTATTATCTTGTTGGTCTGATTCCAGGTACTGTCAATAAATATTATTTTCTTCAGTCTAGTGCCTTCATTCCTGCTGCTTGAGATGCATTCATTTGGACTTTTTTCTTCTTCAGGTTCTATTTTTGCCTGCTTGAGAACTGGTTCTTTGGAACAGTCATCATCACTGTTGCAGACACCTTTTTTTGTGTACTTTTGGAGATGGGAAGCAATATCTTTTACTGAAACCGAATTGGGGCCAGGAAAGATAAGTGCTATCTGAATGAAAAGAAGAGAGAGATCTGAGTGTCAGCAAAATCTAATAAAACACCAGGAATTCTTCCATTAAAGAACAGAAACTTTATATCCCTGCCTAAAAACATTTAAGTCAGGACAAGATTCAAAAGTATCTCTTAAAAAATATTCTATTCTCCAATATAATGTAAAATTTAGTTAAAAAATGTTAATTCAAAGTTTAAACACTGCAGCTGCTGAATATGATGAGCACAACACTGCTGTGCTGCTTAACTAACTGCTGTTTAACTTACTGCAAGTTCAATACTTTCATATGAGAGCAAAATATTTCCTATGGTCCACAATGAATACACTTATGTAGGGTGGAGAATAGAGGAAATTCAAGCTGATTAGACAGTGCCACAGTTTTCTTACTTCATGTCTCTTTTCTTCATACTCTGGAATGCAAGGGTATTTATAAATTGTAACATCATCAGGTGCCAGCAGCTTTGCGTGCACAGCAGTGCTCTTGCCATCGTTTTCATTTGGGTGCTTGATAATGTCGATCTTCAAAGGTAACTGCAGTTAAAAAATAAAAAAGGACAATATTTATGATCATAAAGGTATAAATATTTGTACAAATCTTATGCAAAATTCAGGAGAAATCCCTATGGGTGTGTAATTAAAACATATCTGGCAACTTTGGATAATGTTTTTGTTTTAACAGGCTTGGAACTAAACTACAGACAAGTGACAAGAGGCATCTTCTACGTTCTCTCAGTTTGTAGAAATACATGAGAAGAAGCATGGTACAATCTCTAGAAATAGAATCAATAAGGTAAGTAAGATGTAGGTCTTAATTTGAGCAATATAATGGTTCTAAATATGAATACTTTATTAGGTATTCATCCAATTGCAAAAATGGCCATTTCAATGAAAATACACCTAAATTCAACAGGTCAAATTTCCAAAGTACTTCTAAAGTATTTTCACAATGCTGTCCATCTGGTACCTTCAAAATGCATCTTAGTTCCTAGCTGATTTTGCAAAGTGTCTCAGTCTTCTTTGTGGTTTCTGCAAGTATTTTAGCTGAAGGGCTATTTATTTATATTTTGAGAGTGATTATCTGAATTATACAACGATGACATTTAGGAATGGCTTTTGCTCACATTTTATGTAAAATTCACTCTTGGTTATGGACAAATCACATTTTTTGTTCACATTATGATCTGTTCTGGTCAGACTTATAGAAATGGAGGAATGAGCAAGAGCACTGTAAAGAAAGTTCCAAGAACTAAGTGAAAACACAGCTGAATGAGAAGCTGAGTGACTTCAGCTTGTATTCTCATCTAGTAGAGCGTTTATGTGAGGGCTGGAACATTTTCAGTATTTCTACACACAATTCCTCAAATAAGAACAATAATTTTACCTAACTGCAGTTTATTCACACTTAAGCTGTGTTCAAGATGAATGTCCATGAAGAGAAAGTCAGAAAAGAAATGGCTGCAGATTGTTCTCTGTCCACAGCAACTAAAAGGCACAAAAATACTATAAAAATATTAACCTTCACAGTTGGAATTTCTTTGGTAGGGACAGTTTCAACAGGAATAAAGCATGTATAACAATAAAACATCCTTGAACTCCTGCATCGGGGGCATTTTGATCTCCCACTCTTTTTTGCCTTTTCCAGCACTTCCTGGGATGCTAACTGTAATTGTTGAAGAGGGTTATCTTGAAATGATGATGGAGTCTGCAGTTCTTGGCTGTCCAAACCCTCAGCACTTCTTTTTGGTCCTTGTGCAGACGAATTCAAAGACATGGTTAGCTGAAACACACAATATGTTGTTAAATAGAAATCCAGTTACTACAAACCAATTTATTGAGAATTATTCTGTATTATGCTATTTAACAAAAAAATACTCATCAGAGAAGGTGTTTCCTACAACAGAAAGAGTAATTGAACCATCTGATTCAGTTATTATAGCACCAAGAACTCCAAAGAGATTTCAGGAGGGCATGAGACAAACAGATGGAAAGAACCTGAGATCTGCCTCCTTAATGCACATAATAGGCATGATTTTACTGAGTTATCCCACTCAATTCCTGAAGAAATATATTTTTTTTCTATTCTTAGCATCAGGGACTAAAGTTAATGAAAACACTGCTAAACAGTGTTTACCTGGATGAGCAATCCCATTAGTCTTCAGCATGACTACCAACAGTGAATTACATGCCTACAGGATAGAAATCCATAAGAGAAAAGTTAATTGTGTACAAATTTAGATCTCTATCCTGAAACTTATTGTGTGTGGGCCAACCAAACACCCTGAATGAAATCCCTCCTGGACAGAACTTTGTGAGATAGGAGAAATCTTCCAAGAGCAAAGCTTGAGGCTGAAATTAGAAGAGCTGGAACAGGGCTTTGGTGCTCCATGTACCAGACAGGAAGTGCTGCCCCAGTCTAGATTTGTTCTGCAAGTCTGTATTTATTTAGTACCATTGATGGATTTGTCCCAGGCCTTCTTCCACACAGGTGTTGTCTCCCCCTCTGCAGCTGGTGCAGAAGTTTCACCGTGTACTCTGAGCGATGCATCAGAACGGGGACCACGAGCCCACAGCCAGTGCAGACAGAATTAGTGCTCTGGGAGCTCAGGCTCAGTGTCACTCCAGGCTTTAGGAAAGCCCTTCTGACAGATCACTCAGGGTCCTCTCTGATCTTCAAAGCAGCCCCCAGCCAGCAGCCTGCACAGCCTGCAGTAGTTACAAACTGCCTGTTGCACTTTGTGCTGCATCACTGGAAATGAAAAAAAGTCATTCTCAGTATTTACTTTCGGCTAATTTAGGTTTACTTTTTCATGTCAGGGATCACACTTACGAAATGATGTCACAAAACAGTCATGTTTAACAAAAAGAAACTAACAGTAATTCCTGAGATGTGATCCAAAGTTAAGTGTTTAAATAAAATCAAGTGTAATTTAATTGAAAATAATAAAATAACTCAGCTAACTTTCCAATAAAAAATTAAAATTAATGCCAGAAAAAAATGATTGTTATTGTCTGGTAAAATTAGATACTTAAGTATGCTCTGATGCCTTGCCCTCCCCTTCTGACAAAGTCTAACTTCTGAAAGGTCAGGGACGTCCATTCAAATAAACAAAAAATCTAACATGCACACAAAATTTATGGTGCAATTTGCTTTCAAATATCTCTGAGATAAAGCAAATATACATTACATCTCAGACCAAGCCACACTATTATCAAGTTTCCTCCAGCAGCAGAGCAGGCGAGAGGCCCTGGAATTGGACATGCATTCCCAGCCTGCAAACCGATTCTTCTCAGTACATAACGTCTCACGCTCCGTGGTGCTCGACGGTGACACCCCGGAGCACTTTTGTTACTGATACTGGCACGGGATCTGCTGTGGCCTCACCGTAAGAGCTGTGCCCAAGTTCAGCTGTGTTCGTACAGTACTCTCAGCAGAAAATGACAGCAACACAGTTCATGCAACTTGTAAGACCCAAATCTCACTTCAGACATACTTTCAAGACTGTAAATAACTCCATCTACACCTGATCTCCAAACCCCGGATAGATCGCTGCTGCTGGAGGGTTCCCTCCACATTCCAACTGCAGCTCCGGGCAAATCCGGATCTCGGTCCGGACATCTCGGGGCTTGTGCGAAGCTCTGGGTGGTGTGGGGGGTGCCATGAGCTCCCCCCGCCGTGCCCCTGATGTGAGCGCAGCGGTCACAGCACCGCGGGCTGAGGGCACCGACCTCAGGCCGGGATCTCTCCCGGGAATAACAAAGCGCTCCCGCCGCTCGGGCTCCTCTGAGTGGCCCCGGTCCCGCAGGCCCCGCGGCCGCAGAGCTGCTCCTTCCCCCCTCCGGGGCCGCCCCAGCGCGGCCCCTCAGCGCTGCCTCCTCCCTCCCCACTGCGCTGCCCCGCTCCTCTCCTCATCCCCTGCCCGGCTCCAGCCCTTCCTCACCCGCCTCCCGGCTCTGCTCCTCCGCGGCCCTCGCAGGCCCCGGAACGAAAGTGCCGAGCTGAGCCTGGGCGGGAGGCGGGGAACGGAAGCAGCTCCGGGGCTGAGCGCGGGTGCTGCCTGTGCAGCGGGGTTTGTGTTTGTTCGGACTCTCCCCCGCTCTCCCGGAGTGGGATTTTTCCGACGTGTTGTGTCGCAAAAACCTGACCAGAAACCACGGCCGCAGTCACCGGGGAGCGGGGACAAAGCCGCCCTCCCCAGCTGGGTCCGTGCCGGGTGTGTGACATTGGCCCAGCGCTGCCCCCGCCGTGAGGCGGCTCCGCCTGGAAGAGCCTGGGAACGGCCGGGCTGGGACTGCGGGCTTATTGTCAGTCCCTGGGGAACTCCTGGAAAGCTGCATCAGTTGGATTTTTCTTTTACCTGTATTTCCCACACACACACCTAGTAGTATACTGACAGCATACCGAGTGCTGGAAGGATGGTGCTGCTGCGTTCCTTCCTGCTTGTGCTGCATCACTCCAATTTCCCATGTGAAATTCCTTGGCTGGTTGAGGATGCTGTCCCACAGTAGCATTTACCCGATGTTCAGTCTTTAGCAACTGCATTTTTAGGTTGAACTGACTAAACAAAAACAGTAATTTTGGTATAGAGAATATTTCTCTCAGTGAAATGAAGTCTGTGATGTATTAGCTGCAGTAGCTTTAGGGGGAAAAGTTGACATTATAGGCAGATTTTTATGTGAAACTTTGATCTCAGTTACACCCCCAAAACCTCTCTGACTTGAGTGGTATTACAGTCAGTGGCAGAGAATGCCTACCAGCATTCTGTTGTTACTTGTTTTGTTTTGACTTGATCAGTTCTTCATGCTGGCAGCATGTCATACACTGCAATAGTAGGGAAAAGAGCTACATTTCACCATCCATATTTTTTATCACCTTACGCTGTGACAATACCTGGTGATGTGCAGTAGTTACTTATGCCAAAACATTTCAACATGAAATCTAATTTTTTCTTTAAAAGGTATATTTCTAAGAAGAGCAACCTGACATAAAAATGGAAACACACTTGAATTAGAGATAATGTAAAAACAAAATATTAATTTGTTTTAATTTCTAATTGGTATTACTACCTTTTTCCTTTTTACCCTGAAGTTACAGAATCACAGAATGAACATATGTTTATTAATAGTCTCCTTACATTTAAGAGCATTTCATTGATTTTTTTAAAGGAAATAATTTGTCTTGCTGCCCTGCTATTAAGATGAACATACTGATGTCTTTCAGCTCTACCAGAAGGCTTAAAAACACATGGATTACTCTGTATTAACACTTACTAAGTTATTTCAGGAAAGTGATCAATTTGATGATTAACCTCAAACAACTACCTTTGGTTTCAACAATTTGCTCAAATATTTAAGCTGCTTGTTTGAATCCTGTGCTAGATCAAGGATCAGGCTTTCCTCCTGTGCTTCCAAAACTGCCTCAACAGATGGAAGGCATTACTGGCCTTTCTGAGAACTTAAATTGCACATGATTTTATTTGTCTCTTTAGAAACGTAATGACCCTTTTTTCTTGAGTTATCTCCTTGTCTAACTAGAACGTTATAGTCTTTTTAATTACTCTGTGTCTGCTCTACTGGGCCTCCCTGGCCTATTTCAGTTGTTCTGTCTCTTGGAGATGATGTGGTCACCTCTGAATGCAGTACATGGGACAGGAGGAAATCACAGTCCCCTTGCAGTGGTGCCAAAATTAGAGATTCTTAGATGTAAAATGCATTAACACTCCTATTACAATTCTTTATGCAAAATAGAGTTCACAGATCACTTTGCATTTGTGTAATTTTCATAAATAACTGGTTTTACAATGGCCTGACTGCAGAAGGAACAGCTGAGTTGTATCTCTCTTAAGGAGCCTTGGTCTTTGGTGGGTAAGCTACAAAAAGATTATTCCTTCAGTGTCATGTGTAAATGTGAGTATGAACATGTTCCACTGAACATCAGTCCACGCTCAGATTTGAAGCAGAGAATAAACCCACGTCACTGAACTAGAGAATTGTACTGAAAAAGTGTTTTCATTACAGTGGCCCAGCTTTAGAGGAACATCCTTGATAAGAGTACCTGAAAGACATTGGCCCAGATAAGTGTTTACAGCTTTCCCTCAGGCTGTAAGTGTCAAGTTTATAATTTAAAAAAGTCAAAGAAGCCAAAGTCCCAGTTTTGCCTGGGTTTTTAGGAGCATTTTGCTTCAGACCTAAACAAAGGGCAGGCAAAAATCTGTGCAAACATGTTGTACTCCACAGCTCTTGGTGTTACAAAGAAAAGAGGAGACATCTAGAAAGATCAAAATGATGACTTCTTTGAAGCCTTTCAATCATTCCAGTGATGCAGCAGGACTGTGATAAGTTTTGTGTGCAGACACATTTAGAGGTAGATCCAGGTATATGTAAAATCTTTGCCTGATTAGAGCTTTTAATCAATAAAATCATCAAGACATTGTTACAGAGCAAATTGCTGCAGAGGAAATTCTGACTCAGGCAAGTGAGATGGGGAAACCACAGGAGTGTTACATATTTTTAATTCATTTTATGGATAAAACAAGAAAGATTAAATTTGGACTTTTTTCCTCTGGATCCAGAAATGGAATTACACCTATCTCTGTATGTTTGTTGGGGGAGAAAAAAAACAACTTGAAAAAGTCCTTTTTATTTCTTTGTATCTCCAAAAGTATCTGTAGTCATCTGAAGTATCTTTAGTCCATTGCTTGTTATCTGAAGTATATTCATAGTTCATAGTATGAATTGTCTTAGCTGAAAATATTGTTTGTATCATTGTGTGAAATAGTCTGAAATGCTGACTTTTGACCCATTTTGCATGTTAAGTTGTTACTATTAATAAAAATAATTTTTGCACATTAACCTATCATTAAATAGGATTATACTGACTTAGTTTCACACTCTATTTTAAAATAGTTACTAACTGATAAGACTGAAGAATATTGTAAATATTCTGAGTGAATTTTGACTGCTTCACGTTTATAAATGAAGGAAACCTAATTCCTGTCATTTGTCCAAGGACAAATACTGTCAAGCTGATAAAAACGAGTTGTGCAGAGTGAAGGAGAGATTTCAAATTCAGATCCATGAGCAAATGTGATAAACTCTGTGTCTACAGACTGACCTGTTGGTAACACTTGCCACAAAACCTGTGCACAAATGCAAGATTTTTGAGATAAATTGTTAAAAACACACACAGGGAAACATGTTGGTTGAAGTTGACAATGTACATAAGTAATTGCTAGTGCTACAAAGTATAAAATGTCTGGGTTTTTTAACAGAAAACCCAGTGCCTTGGCACCCAGAGAATGACTGGAGATCTTACTACTTGCACTGGATAAAAATTTTATCTGAGTTTATAATCCACAGCTCTTCCTGTTAGAGGTATTTATGATACACTGCCAGAAGCTGATGCTGCTTTTGGAATGCCACACACCTTTGGAGGACTGATTAAAAATTTTTGTTTATTTGTGCTTAAATAGGTGCAAATATACCCAGATAAGCAAGGTGCAAGGAATACTGAAATCCTTTTAGCACTTCTTGACAGTTCTGGCACAGCTGAGAATCAGTGCTTGCCTCCTGAAGTAGAAGGAAATGTTAGTCCAGTGTCTTCCTCTTCTTTCTCATTATGGTTATTTACAATACTTTTGTTCTTACATATTTTTTAATTATGTAGTAAAATAATGCCAGAAGTGTGTCTTGATGCCTTGCTAATTTTGTGTACCTTCATTTTTGTATTTAAACTTCAGATGTTTCCACTTTCAGTCCTGGTTTTATGGAAAATTAAAAACAAACAAACAAACAAACAAACAAACAAAAAAACAAACAAAAAAAACAAAAACAAAAACAAAAACAAAACCAACCCATAACCAAAACCCAAAAACCAGTAAAAGGTTGAGAGAGCTGCAGGTAGCTGGCTTGGGGACATCAGTCCCTGTATTTTGACAACCTAATGTTTAAATACCCTAAGAAGCTCTTTTGCTCTTCTCAGTAAAAGCCAAGCATTTCCCCTGCAGGTTTTTTCCCTTCAGTATTTCTGCAAACTGAAAGAAGTTCCTCTGTGCTTGTGCACTGTGTTTCAAATTAAAATCTTTATACCTTCTACCTCTGTCTAGTTTTGATTTGCTTTGTGGGTTTAGGATTTTTTTAAATCCCTTCAGTCAGTGTCTCGGATATTTTTTTGTTGTTTTGACAGAAAACTGTTCTCAAAGTTTGGAGATGTTTCTTTCTCTAAAAAATAATCTATTGCAGTGTTTCAGGGTTCTTCTTGATCGTGGTGTCTCCCAAAGTTTAATACATAAATTATATTCAAGTCTTCTTAGATTTGTTATTATCAAATAAGCTGCATATTCTCCAAGCACAAAACTGCAAGTGTTTTACTAATGAAGCTCAACTGCATCAGCTGTAGACCCGAGATTAACTGTTCATGTAACTTGAAAGAGCTGAAGTGGAACATATGAAAAACTAATTTAGTAAGCTGGTTTATATCATGAAGCTTAAAACAAACTTTTAGATGATGAAATTGACTGTTTATTTTACTTTGCTTACTTTGTGTAATGGTGCTAAAATTTATAAAAGGTATGAGTTTGGAATATTTAGGTTAAGAGAATAAATCAAAAGTGTATGGGTTCTGTTACCTCAGGTGATCACTGTGTTCTTTATTAAGGAGAGAAAGAAAATATTCCTGTGGCAGGACACAGGGATTATGTCCACTGGCTTTGATTCAGCATATCACTTGGACTCTGCCTTAATTGCTGGCTGATAAACTTAACATATGCTTCAAATAATGTGTATTTTTGAGTGCTATTCTGAATCAGGAACTACTGCAATATACTAAAAAAAAAAAGATTAAACCTTTAGAGGAACAACATACTGGAGTAAGAGATGGAATTAATTTACAAATATGTGTTTCAGTGCTGTTCCTTTATGTTGTCAAAGCCTCACCTCACAGGGTACATAAACATGAGCTTTAATGATGCTGTGCATTATGAAATAATCACTATACAGCACTCAGCTACCTCTGAATTTATGCTCAGACCTTTGTCCTGATTTTTTCTCCCTTTGGAGCCTGACCAAGACCCCTTGTTTGACAGAATTGCAAGATTTTGTGGCACATTTTCTACTTGTTCCTGGGGATGCTAAAGATGCTTTTTCTCAGGTAAGAGTACAAGTAGCATTTTCGGTGGTGTATTGGTAGATGCTGCATATCAGCTCATTAAAGTATTACCATGACACATGGGCCAATTTACAGCCATCCAGACTGGCAACTTTTGGCTGCAGAAGAGAGCTGGAAGCACGTGCATGTAAGAACCAGAGAGAGCAATCATGGGCAGTCAGTAAAGGGATTTTCTTTTGGCTCATGTAATGTGTGAATATTAAAATTCAATTATAATATTAAATTAGGTTCTTTTAAGAAATTACTTGATTTTCATGAAATATAGTAATTAGCTAAATATTAACAAACATTGCTTATTCTGCGTCCCAATTTTAACCCTAAGGACTTGTTGAAACCATGCAATTTGTTGAAATCAGAATCCTCCAGTTCAGGCATAACTGGGAACTTTGACTTTTACATTAATAAAATCAGTTTTAGGAAGTGAGTTCCCCTGTTGTTTGTACAGTTGCTTAATGTTTCACACAAATAACAAAAGGTTATACTTTTTTTCCTTGGCTGAAGGTCTTTGCAACTGCTACAGTTCACTTGAATATTTTTACATTAAGTAAAAAAAACTGTATTATGAAATCTTTTTTTGTGGACTTTTTAGATGGAGAGTTATTTTGTCAGATATATCCTGATTGCTCATTTATGTTGCTTTCTGTGAAGTATTTCCTGAATCTATTCAATGTTTTGGTGATGATTTTAAGGAGGCATTGGCAGACCATGTTTTTCAGGGGATATCAGCTACTAGCAGGTTTTTTTTCCTTCTACCAGGTCTGCATTTCAGTGAGAATCTATTGCTTTTTCCCCTAGTAATTGTGTACCTGTATACAGAGAAAATTCAGTACTAGCAACACTGCTGTCAAAGCTGGCTTTCTCTGTTCAGTAATAATGATGATTATGATTTCTTAATGGCTCTGAAGGTGTCTCTCTATAAAAAATGGCCACTTTTTATAAATATTCTTACAGGATGCAGATTGTACCTGTCCTAGAAATTTCTATTGGAAGTAATATTGTATTACCATTAAAGGAAGTAGGATTATATTACCATTAAATATCTGCGTGTTTTGACAGTAAAAGTTTATGATTTTTAGATTGCATATGTCATTTGATATCCATTCCAAAACTTAGATTTAGAGCAGATTTCTATCTTTACTGCTCATTTATTTAGATTTCATGACAATGTGGATTTCATTATCTTGTATGTTGAAGCTGATTGACAAATGCAATAGAAATATGTTTTTGAAGTAGATATAAAATGCAGAAATATTTTTCCCCAAACCTTTCTCTCTGTCAGTCACTGTTTGTTGGGCAGAATTTTCTTTTTAGTTACAGACAGAGAAAACTGTATGTAGGAAAAGATCACCCTGAAAATTTAATTTAGAGAAGGTTTGCATACATCAAAGTTATATATGCTCCAAACTCCTAATGGGTCTTTAACTTGGAAGAGCTGGGTAAGCCCACAGTGCTCTCTGTAATGTGTAACCACTATAAATAGATAATGGATGGACTGAACTGGAATTTAGTCAGCCCAGAAAAAATCCCAAGGCTCTGGGAGACCACTGCTATGGCAGAAATTCTGTATCTGCATGAGACTAATGGTGTGGGAGCTGTGTAAAATTCTAGGGGAATGAACACTGCAAACCACGGAATAAAGTCAATTAAGTATTGCTGTGAGAATAATTCACAACCTCAACAAAACCTATGCAAATGTATTGAATTACCAGAATTGGAACAACCACAAAGTAGGGATATTCAACCATGTGCAAAACCAAGCAGAAACAGAAGGGAGATAGTAAAAACAGTTCTGGTTAACTTTAACTATATGAATATAATCATTTCAGTCAACAAACAGGCTTGGATCCCATGCCTGAAAGTTGACCGTGGGCATAAAAATTTGCCCGTTGGAGACAGGAAATAAAGCAATTTTAATTTCATTTGGGAATATTTGTAGGGTGATTTTCAAAATGAACATAAACATTTTTCTAAATTAAGTTTTTTTCTTTTCAGATCTAAAACCAAGGAAATGGGTGTGGAAGAAATGGAATCTCAAAAGCTCTAAGGCTACCACAGTAAATCATACAGTAAAGATGCTACTGCTAACACACAAGCTGCTTCATCTGCCAGTTCTGCAGCAGCCAGTAAGTCTTGTAAATATTTTTAAACACATAATACATGTGACTGTACATTTTTGGAATAGAACTTAGAGGGCATTGCAAAACCTTAATTGTCAACAGAAATTATTAGTAATATTTTCAGTTTGTTTTGCACAAAATCAAAATGTTAAAGCAATTAAAAATGAATTGTGAATTTTGGTCAACTCTAAACATATGTCCTGCCAATATACTGATACTTCTATTTGATTAAGCTGTAAACACTATTACAAAGTATTTAAAGGAGCTGCTCATGTTCCGTCTAGTAAAATCTGACTGGTTTAATTTATCAGTTTTCTAATACTAATGTCAGCTACTCTTTTTTCTACTCCTTTCTCTGGTATCTGCCTCCCATTTTCAATATATCTTGCATTCCATCTCTAACATTTACCCCTTTGTCTTCACTGCCCTGATGGATCAGTCCTTGTCTTTTATTGTTTCATACTAACCTGCTGTTCTTCCTCATGGCCACTATTTGAACTCTTTTCAAGCTTCTTGTGCTCATATTGTTTCTAAATTGCTCCCTTTCTGAATGTTATCCAGCATTTTGTTTCTCCAGGGTTTCCAGTTTCTTCTCTCTTCCCCCTCCCTGAAGTGACTGTTCTCCTTCAATCATCTACAGCCCTAATTTTATGCTACCAGTCTTCTCTTACTCCTTTTTGTCCTCCTGCACCAACCATAACCATAATTTTTCCCATTCTTGCCTTTTCTCCACTCATTCGGTTTTTTTTTTCATGTGCTAATGTGCTTTTTCTGGTTTTAGATCATTCCCGAGTTGTCAAAGTAGGAAACCCTTTCTTTTTGCAAAAAAATTTAGAGGAAAACATCTGAGTGAAAACTCATAAATGTGCGTTCTCACTCCCCAGCCTCTGCCATTTTCAATGTATCACTCTGATTTTCTCTATGGTTATATTCAGTGCTTAGGAAATGTACTTTTTTAGACCCCATAGCCTAAACCCAGTGGAAACATTTGTGTGATTTTTATCCATTCCAATGGTTTTGTTCTGATATAATCATATTTACTTTTAGATCTTGGTCATTGTATTACTTTATTGGTATATGAAAACAATAATATGAAACCAAGTCGAAAGTGATTATTCTTGAAGCATCTTCAATAAATCACCTCAGCTGTTGATTATAATAACACTTCAAACCTTTAGGGAGTCTTTTTACTGACAGTAATTTTGAAGTCACTGAAGCTGTTGTTTCCTCATGTTTCTTGCCAAGAGATAATGACTTGTTTTTTCCTGTGACAATAAAATAAAAGGGAGAAGCCTCACTATTTTAGCCCTCCCTGTTAATACCCTGTTCAGTGATCTCCCTTTTTGCTTTAGGACTTCCCAGTGTTCCCAGTTTTGTTCAATAATTACTTTTTCTCTTGTATGAGCACTGAGAAGTCAGTTACTTTTCCAGCTCCACTTTGGTGCCTGGTTTGTTTGTGAAATCCCTGGGAATAGGGGGCATAGGCAGGTTGGCTGTCACAGTAACGTGTCCTACACAAGAATGGAGTGTCCATGGTTTTCAAATGTTCCCTTTCTCCTACAGGTCTCATCCAGTTTCCCTGTGCTGTGCTGTGATATCACAGCAGACATAAACAAGCTGCCAACCCTGTTTGCCACCTTGAACAGAGATAACCTCAGTGGGACAGTGTGGTGTCCTTTGGAGCAACAGAGGTCACTGTGAGTGTGGGTAAAAACAGCTCCAGCTCCTCTGCTGCCCTGGTGTGATTAGTCAGGTAATTTAAAGCCACTGTGCGTGTGTGTTTGATGTTTTAGCAGCCTCTACCAGGCTCCAACTTGTTTTTCTTGCTTAGCAAATAGGACATTGAAAATGGCTTGCTTAAAGTGATATAAGAAATCTGTAGCAGAGACAGGTTTCAAAGGCCAGTAGATGAGCCCTGAGAACTCAGCAGTGAGTAGATTCTTGTCCATCCAAACTGGTGCTGTCCAAGGTAATAGTGAGTTGTGTTGATGCTTAGACAGCTAGTTGTAATT